TATATCAGCTTTCCGGTCCTTACATGTGGTGGCTGAATTAGTTTTCTTTTTCAGGGTTCTTTTCCTTTTAGTTTCAGCTGGTGATCCTGCTAGTAACACACTTCCTGTCCTAGGATGACAACACTCACTTACTGTACAGGTTGTTACCCTAGAACCATAGAACATGTCCCCCTTTCCTCTTTTCAATAACATAGGTGGAGATAGCTGGGAACAGTATAACTGATCAGCTCACAAGACGTCTGGCAAGACCAACATGTATTATTTTGCACTTATCAAACCCTTATAACAAAACACTTTCAACTGTATATTTAACAGACCAAAAGGAAGCAAGTAAGAGAAGTTCAGTGTTAAGGTTTACATACGCTTTAAACACAGCAATGCACATGCAAATTGAAGGCGAGCTTAATATTTGACACAAATATTTTAAATCGAGTAGATTTAGCGGAATCTGGACTGGAACATACACATGCCCTCTGGTGAAATGTGCACCCTAATTATTAAACCAAGTTATAAGTACAAAATGTAAGTATCACACTCTTTTTTTATGCTCCCCAAGTTACCAGACGAGAAAACCATTTTCATAGCTGTTGCTGACCAGTAAAACCTGTCTGCAAAAGAGAAATTGAAGCAAGTTTTTAATATTTTATGCAGTATTTCCCTAAACCATAAAAAAAAAAAATAGGTCTACTACCAAAAGCGGGACAATATCAAAAAGGAGTTGAAACTACTTGCTGGACTAGAAATTGGGTTAGGGTGGATGGAAATAATCATTTACTTGGTGGACAGTGCATGTGATATTTGTGTAGTCATCACACCACACGCAAAATATGAATTTCCTGCTTGTTATATCTCTAATCAGAGGAAATTATGAGACATAATGTGTATATACAGTGCATTTGTTGTATATGTGGAATGATTCAAGTAGAGGGTAGAGGCCTTTAAAGGAAATCATGATGGTAGAATGATTACGGTTATTGTTATGTCTATATTAATGTATTTTTATTTTTGATGTAGTACATTGCAGAACGGCTGCAACAACCAAATATCCAAAAGAATGACAATATTGACACCAAACATAAGAACTCTGATAGTACATGGTAAGATTATGGGAAGCTAAGTAGGTCAAATGCCCATGTTACATTCTAGTTGATTCTATGTTTTCAACTGCATTTGATGCAGTACTGGTTTGTCAGCATTAAGCATGAGCATACCTGTATCCAGCAGGTGTATGCATTTGGGTGGTTAGAACATCTTGGGGAAACAGGTTTAGACAAGCTTCTGAAATACCAAAATCTACGCAGTGTTAGACTTCAGAAACGCAACAAAATGGGGATTCCTAGGGGAAATAGAAAAAAATTTGTTCTTTAAAGCATTGGATGCAGATTATAGGGACTCGAATGCTGACCACACATGTGGCAATTTGATAGCGCTACCCAACTTTCCATTTTTTTCTCAAATCACAAAGCAACCATGTGCATTTGCTCAATCGGAAAGGGGTTTTAGATTGCCCATATCGAATTTGACAGACAAATCTGATTGGTATTGATTAAATGAATATAGTTTCCCATTTATATTCCATTTCAATAAACTGGGTTGAAAGTGTCAGTTGATTGCTCTGTTTCACCTCTGCAATTCTGGTGGTTGATCAAACGTGGGTGGTTTTTGGTTATTACTTGCGATTGTATGTGCTATTCCTGGTGGCTCAAAAGTAGTTAAAATTGACTGAGTATTGTCTTGTGTATGGGCCAGTTTAAGGGTTAGTTAAACTCATAGGGCTCAAAAGACGAGCTGTCTTTGGTTCCTGCATATACGGAGGCTTCAGATGACTTTTATGCACTTCACAACATTGAGCCTCAATGACCGAGGAGGCGCCAAGCTACAGTTCTATTACTGTTTTGGTGCCGTTATTTTATCCAGTCATTTTTTGTATACCCTGGAAGCGCCAAATCCTGAGAACAACATGCAAATTTCAACACTTCTTGGAGTGCTTAGAGCAGTCCCCCTTCCAGATGCTTCTATTGACCAGTAAGGCTGCCAGTCATAATGACCTACCATTACAACAGGTCAGGAGACAGGAGGGGTTTGGCCAGCTCTTGACAGTGCTAGGACCTGTTAAACTGTGCATACTAGAGTGTCCTGGTATTTAGGGCTCTTTGGATGCGTGAGAAGTAATCTAAAGTTAAGGCATGCCTGTATTTAATCTTGGGACCAATTTAATCCCTCCATTATACTGACAGATGTACTTTTGTATTTGTCACTTATCATTTTTTGTTTTTTTTCTCCACAGACTTAGACCTTAACTTGATTCCACTTGGTAAACAGTCCCCTCATTATTGTGAAGAATGAAGAAATTTTTTAAGCTGAGTATCCTAAGCGCGTTGAGTCCCCAGGGAGGAAAGTGCTATAGAAAAAAAAAATTATATTTGTCACTGTATAGGTTTTTTTTAGTGTAAAAGATTGCAAAGGAAATGTTTTACTGTTCTACTACAAATCTTTAATCCTTTGCATTATTTTTTGTGTAACCCATTTTCACTGTTATATTGTAACATGTTACCTAGCTGTTTATATTTTACATTGTACCAAAGAACTGGACCAGTATTAAAAAAAAATTATAATGAAATTATTACGTTGCAAAGTTTAATTATTTAAAAAAAATGCTTGGCAGCGTTCCTTCTGTTGATGGATCAAATGTGCACTTGCTGATCACTGCCACAGTCTTGACACATTCCTTTAGGTTTACTTGTACTGAAGAAGGTTACTAACCTGTCACTGGTGATGCAAAAGCAGACACTGGTTTAGCATTCCTCAAGACTGTCCTTGAAGCCCCATAAACTCTATTATGCAAATCTTGACTGTATCTGGGAAGTCAGCACTTGGCACTCCTCTCTGTACCTATAGATCTGTTGTGAAAGGGCGAGGCCATACTTTCTAAATGACATCTGATTTAGGGCTCCCGTGGAGTGCTAGAGGAATGCTGTGCCAATATAAAGACATTCTATAACATCCAATAACAGGTTAAAAACTTTACCTTTAACACACATTTAAGCTGGGTAAACACACATATATTTTCTTTGTTTAACCTGCTGGCTGAACGAAGAAAATATCACAGGTATTCCTCCATCAACGCTTACGAGCATGGATCAAGGAATCTCCTGCTGTTTCCATTGTATTCTGCCGCCGGCCGCTGTCAGAATACCTAAACAGAGCTAGCACCTGATTGGCACCCACACATCGAATTTTAAAGTGTGTATAGCCTACTTAACTTTAGCCTGCTGGGAAACAGAGCTTAAATACATATATATATACTGTAGGAGCTGTTTTACATACAAGGATTTGTATTTCTCTCCATCCAGGTCTGAAATTTACACAGCTCCGACAAAAATCATAGCCCTGTCTGGCAGGCAGAAGACCTGCTTTGTTTCTTCTGTAATTAAGTAACACTTGAAGGTCTTGCTCCCTCCATAGTCTGTAACCAGACAGTAAAAGGAAAAGCAGCAGACCGATAAATCTTCTGTCTTCATATCCGCATGTTCCTTATTAGCACATGAACACTGAAGCACATATGACTGGCTCCTTATGCTGCTTCTCCCTCTTCCAGTCTGAGCTCAGTTATACAATGCACTGCAAGAGGCTGTTACTAAGTTAAATTTAGGTACTTGCACTACTTGCATTAAATAATACATTTATTGATATATCCGTGAATACAGAGCTACATTAATTTGTGTCTTTGATACCTGCCTGGAGTTAAGCTGAAATGTTGTTTTCATAGAGGCATGAGCTGAACAATTTAGATATAACAGCCAGCTGAAATGATATGATATGAAGTCTCTCCTCTTCTGCCCAAGGCATCTAGGCGAAAGTGATGTCACTGGCAGCAAAAGAGTTAAACTAACCATACACCAGGGGTATGCAACCTTGGGACTCCAGCTGTTGTGCAACTACAAGTCCCATAAGGTGTTGCAAGACTCTGGCAGCCACAGGCATAACTCCCAGAGGCAGATGCATGATGGGATTTGTAGTTTCACTACAGCTGGAGTGCTGAGATTGCCTACACCTGTCATGCACTGTTAGAATTTTGTTAACGTTTGTTCAAAGTTGTTCATCAGAGCATTTGATCTTGCCATCATTGAGTCAGCCAACTGAGTATGGAAGCCTATAAAACTGGTCTGCAGATGCTTGGTCTGCTCAGCTAAGCAAGTGTATTGTCAAGCTAAACAACTGTTCACACACCAAACTGGTTTTCCTGTAAACGCATCATTGCCACGGAGTCCTGTTCGAATATGGAATTTGCAACTGGAAAGTAGCTTTAGTGTATCCTCTCTTAGAAACTATTTCATGTACTAGAATTGATAGATTAGTGGGTGCATGTGTACTGTACATTTGTAGCAGCCTGTATGTTTGTTTTGTACTGCTTTTCCTGTAACTAAGTTTGTGCAATCAGCATTTTTGCATAGTAAAGTATGGTAAATAATACTGGGGTCAGTTTCCTTGAGCTTTACTGCAAGAATCGGACAATAGTTATATGTAAACGTTTTGTCAAGCATTACATTTCAGTGCTTGTCCTTGGGATAAGCTTTACATTTAGGGGGCTCATCCTTGGGATAAGTTTTACAGGCAAAACAATGCCACAGCGAGATGAACCCCACAATTCAGGTAAGTAGGGGTGTAGTTTAAAGGGGTTCTAAACCCTCTGTTTTTTTTGCCTATATCTACTGCTAGCAAGCAGTAAAAAAAAAAAATGCTTTAACTAGGTTTAAACTTACCTCGTTATCGCTGCGCGCTCCCGTGCAGAGAATCGGGAACTGCTCGTACGGCCGCAAAGGATCTTGGGGCGGGCACAATGTGCAGTTCCGATTCCCGGCCGGGAGACGAGCAGAGACGCAAGGTAAGTCTATGGACGTGTGCACCCGCATGCAGACACCGTGGGATCGGAGGGACAGAGCAGTCAGCGCTGGATCGGAGGGACAGATGAAAACATCAGGAAAGAAGAAGATCGGAATACGAGACATCATTTAAGGTAAGTGCTAACATTACATTGGGGGGGAGGGAAATTTTTTTTTTACTTTAATGTCACTTTAAGGGTAAGGGGTTATTGTATGTAACTATGTTTCATGTTATACCCTAAATATGGGTGTAACATGATATATGGTCAGAAAGATGGAGTATGCTGTTAATTTTATTAGATTATGCTAATCAAGCATTAACATCCCTTGTGCATGAGCAGCCTAATATCTCAACCTTGGAAGCCGGTGCTTTTTGGAAATGTACATGCTTACTCCGCTCTTACTTTGTATCATAAGATGTGGAAACACAGGAAATCTATCCTTAAAGGGTTTCTAAACCCTCAGCTTTTTTTTGCATATATCTACAGCTAGTAAGCAGTAGATATATGCAAAAGGTTTTTTTTTTAAAAACGCTTTAACAGCGGTTTAAACTTACCTGTGTCCTCCCCACGCGCTCCCATCCGAAAATTTGAAACTGTACGGGCGGCCGCAAAGCATCTTGGGGCGGGCGCATGCGCAGTTCACATTTTCGGCCAGGACGCGAGGAGAGACAAAAGGTAAGTCTATGGATGCGTGCACCCGCATGCAGACACCGTGGGACAGGAAGTGCCAGCAAGCTCAGAGGAGTCAGCGCTGGATCGGGGACTCGCCACAGCACTGGAGAGAAGGCTGAAAACTGCAGGAAAGAAGAAAATGTTCAGATTAAGAGACATCATTTAAGGTAAGTGCTATAATTAACGTTGGGGTGAGGGGAACAAAAATGTGCCTTTTAATATTCACTTTAACTATAAGGGCTTTAATGCATATACCCCAGTGTGGCACACGTGACTGGATTAATTCTCAAAACGTCTAATTCTAAAAAAAAGCTTGCAGTATTTGTCTCTCCAAGTTTTATCAAACTACTACACATGAATCCTTCCAACAGCCATAGTCAGTTTTCCATCACAAGAACTATGTTTTTTTAGTTATATCCAACTTCATCAGACCATCACTGATCAATAAAAACTTAGTGATCTCACACTTCACCAAACTGAGCTGATTTTGCTCACTTCCAGTGTAAGAGAGGTCATGCCTTGCTTACTAGTACCCATAAT